TCTGAGGTGCACTGTGTAAATCCCTGGGACCATTCTTTGTTAAGATATGTTGAATCGTTAGTTTAAAATGAGGGAATGCAATACTTACTGGAGCTCTGCATTCTCAGAGTGCTTTTGTATTAGGACTATATCTTTAGCCATCCACATTCAATAAAATAACTAAAACAAAAGACAATAAAATCGAAAAAATGTTTCTAAGTATGAGCTAATTAGTTAGAATGGTTTTTTTTTAATAGGTTTTCTAAGTTGAAAAAGACCTTTAAAGAGAGGCAAGACTTTTGCATGGGCTCCAAATGGTTTAAGACAAGCATTTATTTGATTTTTTTTATATGGATTCAACAAGAAGGAAGTGTTTTTTTTTCAGTGAAATATTTGACATTTATGCAACATATTCCCAGAGATACACAGTTATTAGTTAATTTACTTGCTGACATTTACTTTTGGAAAAAAAAGCGCCCTGTTACAATGAATAAGAAAATCAGCAACTATTTATTCTGGGAAGTTTTATTATTTGTTTGGTGTGTAAATCACTAACTATAATGGTGCAATACCATATAAATTATTATGGTTGACGATACAATGTTTTCTGTTATCACAGTGTTTCACCGTACAATATTAATTCAATAAGCCGTCTGCAATATTATTTACCCATAAATTGTTTCAGTTCCTCTTACCGGTTTTAAGACAAATTATACTGCATTATTTTCAAAATGTTTTTTGTTGTGTATCTGTTAAGCTTAAAACAGATAAGTCATCCAGTATTAGAAGGTTTTATAGACTAGACTGTCCTCTTTTTACTAGAGGAGGTATGATAGGGAAGATGGGCAGGGCTTCCAACTGTTTAGTTCTGAGGTGAACTGTGTAAATCACATCATCTGTTAAGTCATGTTGAATCCTGTCTGCAGGTAAATAAGGTACCAGTGAATCCTATATTTCAAAAGAAATCATTATGCAGGACTCCTCATATTGTGTACAAATCTGGATTTACAATGGTGCATTTCTTAAGAAAGAGCATACGTTAAGCGTATGCGTGTCTATGAGCAGACTCCCAATTATGAGGTGCCCCAAGGGACATAAATCAGATTAACTTCATATACACATATTAAATTAAACTCTTCCATATAATATACTGAAAAACATGCATAAACACTAGTGAAAAAGTCTCACATAAACTACTGAAAATATTTACGTCTTCTATAACCTACTCAAAAGCTCTCATAAAAGTAGTGAGAACTGTTCATATAAACTGGTGAAAAGCTTTACCTTTCATATACACTACTTAAAAGTTTTCATATACACTACTAGAAAGCTTTGATACACACTACTTTAAAGCTTTCATATACACTACTGGAAAGCTTTAATGCACACTAATAGAAAGCTTTAATACACACTAATAGAAAGCTTTAATGCACACTACTAGAAAGCTTTAATGCACACTACTAGAAAGCTTTCATACACACTACTACAAAGCTTTCATGTACACTACTACAAAGCTTTCATACACACTAGTAGAAAGCTTTCATGCACACTACTAGAAAGCTTTCATACACACTAGTAGAAAGCTTTCATGCACACTACTAGAAAGCTTTCATACACACTAGTAGAAAGCTTTCATGCACACTACTAGAAAGCTTTCATATACACTACTAGAAAGCTTTCATGCACACTACTAGAAAGCTTT